ACTAAGGTAAACTTTGGGAACTTCCAATTAATTTATTAAATGATCAACAAATATATAATCAAAATCCAATCAGAGTACTCAATTTATGAAATCAAATTCAAATTTCTTTTCTTCACTTTGTGTTACCCCGCATTACGCTACTAGCAGTAGATATTATACCCTTTTGTTTTTAGCACTTGTTGTCTATGTTGTTGTATGTTTACCTTGTAGATTTAACATTCTTGTAGTTTTGTTGCACAATCTTTCTTTTCTTATTTTCCTTTTGTTCTCTTTACAGTTTCTCAATTTAACACAATTTCACGTAAGTTTTGTTTCTTTGCTTTTGTTTTGTATTGTGCTTGTAATTTGTGCTTAGTAATATTTGTGCCACCCCCCCCTTCTTTTGCATGTTTTAGTTGATTGACAATATGTAATTTTCCAGAGCTCAATATACCCTCTCCTTCAACCAATTTTTTCCTAGATTTCAGGTATTTCTCTCCAAAATATAGGCAATTTTACAATGTAAAGGGCAATATACTACTATAAGCAATAAACTGAGTAAACAATTTTTTTCGAAAAAGTTTTTGACTGCCTTCAATATTGCAGGCAACAGGGAAAAAGTATTTTGAGCCCGGTCATAAATGTTATATAACTTAAGGTCTACATGACATTGTATACATGTAACTTCAGTATGAAGCTGTTACAATGTTATTGTTCAGACTTTAATAAGTAGTGGTGATATGATAATGATTATTGGTTGAATTGTGATGGGGAAATTATAAACAATTAAAAGTTTTGATTATAAACAAATAAAAATATCCTTTAAGTTTAACAGTACCATTAACGTTGTTCCTTAATGGGCAATGCCTATTTTTAGAGATGTACGAAAATGTCCGTCGGTCCAAATCCTAATTATACTAAATTTGTTATGGCTAAATGAAAGGCAAGGCTTGAAGCAAACACATGCACCTTACCGCTTTAGAATTCTATATGCCTCCAATACGTGTGATAGTACATTGTGTACGTGGAGCAATTTTTGGCAAGTTTGGACAGCTGCAGCAGGACTTGTTTTAGGCCCCCCTGTAATATTAATGAAACAACCCTGAGTCCTAAGCTCACATGTATAGGAGCAGACAGCTTCATACGCGATTGAAAGAACCTGAATCCCGTAAACGGATTTGTCCCGCGCCGGTTCTATGTGCCCGTTAACCCCCGTATTGATCAGCGTAGTTCACGGATTACTAGTTCTGATATGTAGATGGCAGGACCTCTGAATTATTTACCAGCAAAACGTGCGTCTTGCCAAGTCAGCACTGGGCGCAAATGGAATCTTTACGGTTATTTCTCGTGGTAGGTGTCAGCCAGGGTCAAGTATTACGTTTCAGACAATAAGTACTGGGACGTGAGAAATTTACAAATATCCCAGGGGGATACTGTTCAGCGATTGGAAAGACGACCTGGAATAACCTCTGCTGCTGAAACAATTTTAGACGAATAACATGTCTGACACTGCAGGGAAACAAGATTGTAACTCTGTCCAAGTCCTGATTATAATCAGAATCTGTGTGCTGCAAATCCCTTTGACAAAACTCAACTGATAGCATGATATATAAAAGATGGCAACTAGAAAATATTACACTCAATTCACAGACTGCATTTGGTAAACTTTAGCATTGGAATTATTGGATAACATCATGAGAATTGAAGGCACACTAAGTCGTAAATGGAAGTTAACCCTTGTCCTGCTGGACTTTTTTACAGAACATTTTCAAATAATTTTTGAAGTCTTAATCAGGTCGCAGACCCTTGACTTTTTTTTGCCCCGTGGTTGCGTAGTTACTTCTGCATTTGTTGTGTTTCGCTGCGGTTTGATGCATTGCACGAGAAACACCCCCCAAATCGCACATATACAGGGCACTATATAGATGTTACTGCATGTGCAACACATATATATATGGGTCCCGCAGGACAAGGGTTTTAACTTTGAAACAAAACTCCTACAATGTTAGCAAACATGTCTCTAGCTAGCTAGTGTCTGTTTCTAACCATGACGTCCTTCTGGCTACAGCCCCTTCAGGCCACGGCATTCCATGCAAAGGTAAAGACACCGACTACTGCCTGAATGGAGGCAAGTGCACCCAGCTTCCTGCATTTGGCGGCGACAAACCTGAGAAGAGATGCACGTGAGTAGGGCTTTTGTCATGAAAATCAGACTGAGAGTGTGTGATCGGCCATTTGCTACATCCTGACGGAGTGATTGAGTGAGTGAAGGAAGTATGTTGAGAGAGAAGTTGTCCATGACTTGAAGAGCAATTGATGCAAGAATGGATTATGAGAAACTGATTGTTGATGTTTTGAACGTGTCTGTGTGTGTTGTTTGAGAGCTTGTGCTTTTGTTTCACTCTGGTTTTTACCCGGATTTTTCACGGTTTTTGTTAGAATGTTTCTTCAGTGTCATTTGGCCCATTGCAGAAAATATCTTTTCGGACACTACATTTGAGAATTATAGACGGGCCAATGTCATCCTGAAAA